CCCCCCTCTCTCTCTCTTTCTCCCTCTGCCGCGCTTCCTTCTCTCCGAGCATAGGCCCCCTTCCCATGCATGGACACCCGCAGAGATGTCTGTCACTCTGATCGACCCGAATGATGTCCTGCTCGACTCCCCCACCTACCGGGTGATGGTGTCGGAGATTGAGAACTCCAACCAGCAGTTCTCCGAATCCCTGACTGCCCTCCAGGCCCTCACTCAGCGGGTGGTTAATCTCGAGAAGGGTGCGCACACACCGCCCATCCCCTCTTCCATTCTTCGCTACCCGCCCCCCCCCCCCCCCGCGGCCACTTTCCCCCGTCGGCTGACAATCGATTCCCCCTCCCCTTCCCACTCGGTGTTTGCAGAGACCATCCTCGCCTACCAGGACTTCCACCGCGAGCTGACCAACCTGGTGCACACCTGCTGCGCATCCGGCACCGACTCCGATGAGGACACCACCATCCTCGATGCTTTCTCCCGCTTCGGCGAGATCGCGCAGCTCATCATGCGCAACAAGGATGACCTCGTCGTCTCCCTGGAGAAGTCTCTCCTGGGCTACTGCAATGCCATGATTCAACAGGAGTTCAGCCCACTTGAAGTGCGCTCTCCTCCCCCCCCCACCCCCTCTCTCCCTCTGCTTCTCTCTCTTCTCCTTCCACCATGGCCACTTTTCATCGCCTGCCACCTCAGCCCGCTCTCGCTTCGCCTCCCACAACTGACCCATCCCCCACGCCACAGACCCTCAAGTCCAATGTCCAGGCACATTGCAACACCTATGAGACCGAGGTCAACCGCCTCGCCAGCTGGAATCACTCCAAGCGCCTGAAGGACAGCAAGAAGATCCCGGATGTGCGACCCGCCAATCGTCTCTCCAGCCCCGCCCCCCGCCCCCCCCCCCCCCCTCCTCCCCCCCCCCCCCCCCCCCCCCCCCCCCCCCCCCCCCCCCCCCCCCCCCCCCCCCCCCCCCCCCCCCCCCCCCCCCCCCCCCCCGGGGAAACCCCCCCTCCCCTTGCTACCTGCCCGGGGGGTGGGGCGGGGGGTCCCGGGGGTGTTGTGTTTGTTCGGGGGTTTCCCCCCCGCCCCGCAAGAAGCACGGTCTGCCCGCGGGGGGGGGGGGGCGAGAACCGGACGACGCGTTG